ACAAAGTGCAGCAAAATTACTTAAAGATAATGAACAAAGCTAGAATCTGATAACCCAGAAGGATATGCTATAGACATGCATAGTTTTTTCTGTATACCCCCCCCCGCCAAAATAAAAGAACAAAGGGCCCCCTTAACCAGTTTCAGTGGGAAAAACAAGCAACTTGAGTAATACCAGATCACTGCCAGTGTGGTCCTTTTAGAACTCTGAATTCACCTGACAAATTTAAAATAAAAGTTTTGGTTCCTAAATGTCCTCAAGATGCTTGAAAGAAAAAAAATGTCCAAATACGAATATTAGAAAACAAAGACTAAATATCAAAATTCATTAAAATATTTCGACCTTTATTTAGACAATTCAAATTGGATTATTTCCTGAAATGTGTTATACCCTTCATGATACAAACTAGACCCTCAAGGATAAGGTCTTCAAAATACAAACACAGCTATCCAGTCCTATTGCTATACACTGTTAGCTTCGGCATCTTGCTGCTGAGATTCTATGTTAACATTATCCTTTGCTGTCATTAAGACTTTTACAACTTTGGGGCACCTGGTGGCTCAGTTGGTTGAGCATCTGCCTTCAGCTCAGGTCATGATCCCAGGCTCCAGGGGTTGGGCTCCCTGTTCAGCAGGGAGCCTGCTTCTTCCTCTCCCTCTGCTGTTCCCTCTGCTTGGGCCTCAAGCCCAAATAAATAAATAAATAAATAAATAAATAAATAAATAAATAAAATCTTATTTATTCTCTGTCAAGTAAATAAATAAATAAAATCTTTTAAAAAAGGCTTTTACAACTAATTTTCAGTAACCTTCAGAAATTTTCTAAAATTTTTCTTAGGAAACAAGATAATTATATATAGATTATCATTAGAAAAATGACAATTTTCCATTGCTATTTCCATACAAATACTTGAATCCATGAGTATCGTGTCACAGTCCCCAACTTTATATACTTTAAGTACATATGCCCACTACTAAAAATCAAATGAAACATATAGTAACTTAAGTTCAGCAATAAGTTTCCCTAAATTAGAATTATGAAATAAGACAAGCCCTAAGCTAAGGAATGTGATCAATATAGAATTATAGTCAAAGAACACAACTTGTATTTCCATAGTGATCCCAAAATATATGTTTACTCCTAGGTATTTACCCAAGAGAAATGAAAATATATGTCCACAAAAATACTGAATGATTATTTTTAGCACCTTCATTTATAATAGCCAGAAACTGAAAACAACCTAACTGTCCTTCCCAGATGAATGGATATACAAACTGTGGTAAACTCATGTAGTGGAATACTAATCAGCAATAAAAAGGAACTAATTACTGATAAATGCATCAATGAAACATGCTGAGTAAAAAAAGCCAGACACATGTGTACTGTATGTACTGTATGATATCATTTTCTAGGATTGGCAAAACTAGAGTGACTAATCTAGAGGAAATGAGTGGTTGCTGAGGGTCTGACGGTGGAGGAAGTGATTAACTGCAAAGGGGTAGTAGGTCACTTTTTGAGATGATAGACATGTTTTAGATTTTGATTGTAGTAATGGTTAAATGGGTGTATCTGTTTGTCAAAATGTACTGAACTATAGACTTAAAATGGGAGCATTTTATTATATGTAAATTACCTTTAAAAAGTTTGATGATAAAAATAAAACCAAAAAATATGTCTGTACTGCAGGTATACTAAAAGTAACAAATAAGTGGCATGATGGACAGTTTGAATCACCCTGCTATGATTATTATGAGTCCCTAAAATCCCATTCTTTGATATGGACTATTGGTTTTTTTCAGTGTCATTAAAAAAATTAATAAACTTTATGTCTTAGAAAATTTTTGTTTACAGAAAATTGAGCAGATAATAGAGAATTCTCATGTATGCCATTCAGTTTTCCCTTTTATTAACATCTTGCTTTAGTGTGGTACATGTGCTATAATTGATGAGCCAATATTGATAGATTGTTGTTAAGTCCATAGTTTATATTAGAATTCATTCTTTGTGTTGTATAGATTTATAGATTTTGACAAAGGCGTAATGTCATATATCCACCATTTCGGTATCAAAAATGATAGTTTTGTTGTCCTAAAAATGCTGTATGCTTTTTTATATTCCTTCCCCCAAACTCTGGCAACCACTGATCTTTTTACTGTCTCTATAGTTTTGCCAACTATAGTTTCTTTCTCTCACTTTTTTAGGTAAGTGCTATGTACATACAGGTTTATGTTTCTTATCTCTGCCATCCAATCAGATTACCTCCCATAACTCTTTCTTTTATATAATTTATCTTCCTGAGGACTTTCTGGAGGGTGGTGGAAGAGATCTGCCTATTAAAAGCTGCAGCAGAGAGCTATTCCTTCCCAGTATACATTCTGCCCTTCTTCCTTTTAATAATAAAATAATCCCACTCTGTCAAGGTTTGACTGAGCTCTTGGCTATGAGTGCATTTCCTACCTTGCTTCTATCTTGGTGTGGCCTGTGGGATATGAGCAGAAAGAAAATGTGCAAGTGATACAAATTGACAAGATTGAGAAAATAAGACATTTACCATGTAATTTTAAAGATTTTCATTTGGGGTTCCTGGGTGGCTTAGTCAGTTGGGCATCTGCCTTTGGCTCAGGTCATGATCCCAGGGTCCTGGGATCAAGCTGCGCATTGGACTCCCTGCTCAGTGGGGAGTCTGCTTCTCCCTCTCTCCCTGCTTGTGCTGCTCTCCCTTGCTCTCTCTGTCTCTCACATAAATAAATAAAAATCTTAAAAAAATAAAGATTTTTATTTATTTTTATTTTAGAGTGAGAGAGCATGTGAGCGGGAGGGAGGGGCAAAGGGCGAGGGAGAGAATCTTCAGGCAGACTCCCTGCTCAGCACGGAGCCTGACCTGACCCGGGGCTTGATCCCAGGATCCTGAGATCATGACCTGAGCCAAAACCAAGAGTCGAATGCTTAACTGACTGAGCCACCCAGGTGACCCTGCCATGTAATTTTAGACTGGTGTCGCATTCTTGAACCACACTACCTAAAGGATATTGTGAATTAATATTATCCTTGGGACGGACAAATAGAAGCCTGTGAGGGTAAGTAAAGGAGCTGTCAAGGGAGCTAGAAGGAAAATCAGGGGACTGTGGTTTTATGGAAGCTAAGGGAAGCAAGTCTTTGTAGATGTGATCAACATGTCCAAACGAAACTGAGAAATCCAGTGAAATAAGGAATGGGGATTTGATCATTAGTCTCTGTTTTCATATCTATAAAATGGTATCTTGTGTGGTTATCATATGGTTGACTAAATTAACTAAGCTGGCTTATGGTGGGTACTCAATAAATTTTAGCTTCCTTCTCTTTTTGTGATTAATCCATTGTTTTATTCAACAAATACTTATTACTTACTAGTGACGAACTCTGCAAGAGGCTGGCTAGGCAATGATGACAGACCCTGCCTTAAAAGCACTCGGTAGTGTTGTAGGGTGAACACATAAACAGGCCAGTACTATTCCTTGCCAAGAGTGATACGATGAAAGGAAGTACATGGAAGTTACCTGATTTATTTCGCTTTGTTTCTTTGGTTTTGGCAGGCGAATTAGAAAACTTAAAAACATCTCAAAGTACAAAAAAAACCCACTTTTTTTTTTGAAAGATTTTATTTATTTATTTGACAGAGAGAAACAGCCAGAGAGAGAACACAAGCAGGGTAAGTGGGAGAGAGAGAAGCCGGCTTCCCGCTGAGCAGGGAGCCCGATGCGGGGCTCCATCTCAGGACCCTGGGATCATGACCTGAGCCGAAGGCAGACACTCAAACCGACTGAGCCTCCAATGCACCCCTAGCAGGATCTCTTTTTAAATTGAGTTTTATTTTACATTCAGTAAAAATCTATCCTTTTTATGAGTTTTGGCAAACAAAACAACGGTGTAATCACGAACACAATGAAAGCATAGAAGTTCCATTACCCCCCAAAATTTCCTCAAGCTCCTTTTTAGTCAACCCCTTTTCCTGGTCACCATTGATCAGTGTTCTGTCCCTTTTTAAGAACTTTTTATTTTGAAATAATTATAGACTCACAAGAAACTGCGAAAACAGTACAGAATCTCGTGTACCCATCACCTAGCTCTCTCCAATGGTGACAACTTACATAACTGTGGTACAAGATCATAACCATGCCCTGGTAACGTTTGAAGGCAGGTTTTCCTTTCACTTCTTGCCCGTGTTTACTTTTTTTTCTTTTCACACAAATTTAATTCTGTTGTGTTAAAAGGAGCAGATGCTAGTTTTCCCTCAGATGTCTGCTGTTGCATTTTCAGTATTTCAGTTCCATCACCCCTGTTACTCCTACATCTTTCTGTGGTCGTTTCTTTATCCCACCGCCCTCCCTACCCCCATTTTAATTCTGCTGCTAGATTTTTTTTCCCTGAGCTTTGTGCCACAGATGGTACTATTGTAATTATTGAATTGCTAACTTCTACCTCAGTCCTTACGTTTTAAAGGAGGGAGTCGTGTTTGTGCTTAATTGTTGCAGTGCTTACAATAGTTATACAGTGTGTGTATGTATGTTAGCCGGCTTGGCTCTCCAACCTCGGAGGTTTTTGCTCTACCTTTTCTCCCTTAGTCACTCATTTATTTCCTAGATATTTGGCTATTTGTTGGAAGAAAGGGTACAGCGACCGTTAAAAACGCCGGCATCCCCCTTTCCCAGGTTTAGGCTTGCCTGCCGCACCTCCCTAACAGGCCGCCTTTGTGCACGCAGAGAGCACAGCCCGCGTTCAGTTCCTGGGGCCAGTGAGATGAGGGGCGGGGCCTCGGCTCTGTCGTCCCGGGCGGCAGGAAGGTCACGCCCCCTGGCCCGGGTCCTGCGCGCGCGGCCCGCGACGTCAGCCACCCGCGCGAGCCTGGCCCCATGGTGCACGGGAGGTGCTGGTGCGCATGCTCTGACTCGCTCGCTGCGGTGGCGGTGGTTGCGGGAGGGCTGGGCCTCTCTCTTGGTGGGTCTCTTTGCGTGTTCGTTCCGCTCCTCTACTATCGTCTCCGTGGCCCCTGGGAGCCCATCACTCTCCTCCCTGGGGCCGCTGGCTGGAAGGCAGCTGGCAGAGCGATGGGCACCTCACCCCGATTCCCCTCCCCCCGCCCCGTTGCCCCGCCTGCGCTAGGCTGGGCGGCGGGGTCAGGGGCCGAGCGGAGCGGGGTGAGTATTCCCACAGCCTTTGCTGGCCCCTCTTCCCGGCTCTGTTTCCCGCACGGTCCTCACCCCACTCCTGGGATGGTGAGGAAGGGCGGGTGCGGGTAGGCGACAAATAGCCCAGCCCTGAACAAAAGACTGGGAATCGGGGCTCTCGCCAGTGAAATATAGGCCGTGTCCTGGCGGTCGTGGGGCGAGCTGGTGGGGGGTGGGGCCGCAGGGGGAAGGAAGGCCCGCACCCAGTGTGACCGGCCCTCTTGGGCCACTACTGAGCGCTCACGCACAACGTCGGTAGTCACTGCCCTGTGTTTAAAACCTGCGCAGGGATAGCAAGTCTTTGTCCGCGTAACTTTGAAACAAAGGGTATTAAATTGTCGGTGATTCCAGTGGCCAAGTCCCACTTAAGTTGAAGGGGTTTCAGATAATCAGTAAGAATCAGGAGGAATAAGTTAATATTTATAGCCAACAGTTTTTCTTCTCCCAAATAACATATCTACTCACAGTATGTGAAATATGAGTTGGGGGGTAGTTAACTGATTTATAGAAACATTTATGATGGCGAAAATTATAAACATCTAGGAAAAGCAAAAGAATAGCTCAGAATGGAACCTTGTCTAAGAGGCCCACCTGAGGATGAATTAATTATCTAGGGGACTTGACTCTTGCCTGACTTAGTATTGATTAGGGCTCAGGCCCAGCAGTTACTTTTTTGTGTGTGTGTAATGGAGATGCAAATTATTTCTGACTGGGAGAAAAAAACACTCCTGAAGATTGTGATTTTATTGCCCTATTTCCAAGATTTTTATAATTTTTACCATTCAGCTTGCTCTATCATGAGTTCAATAAATCTTTGCCACAGGCTCCTTTTGGGTGAATCATGTTTATAACTGAAAAAAATTACAGTTTAACAGTGGCCTCACTCTTGAGTGGCAAAAGCTTAAGTTTATACTTTTTAGAATTGGAAAACATAGGCCCTTTGTAGTACTTGGCAACATTAGAGGACCCCAAGTAGAATCCTTAACTTCCTGCTTCTGAAGAGTCAAATATGGACAAAAGGAAACATTTACAAAATGAAAATTTAATCAAAAAAGAAATGTTGAGCATTGAGAAATTCAAATTAAGGTATTGTAATTACAAGGATTAAAAATCGTTATTGGTATTTTAATTGAAGTTAGTGGAAACAGTTTCTAGTTCTACACTGGATTCATTTGGATATAGACTATTACAAGATTATTTCTCTTTACCTTCTCACTTTGCCACTTCCTTTCCCCCTTTATTTAATATTAACTGAGATACTGCTACATCGTGAGGCAATCAAGTTGGGTATAATGTTTTATGACAAATTAAATTGATAGTAGTTCTTAATGCTTATAAATTTCTGAGAAAGATAAGCAACCCTTTAGGAAAAATATGTCAGGTAAAGTTTACATAAATAGATTGTTTTAAGTCTGGGTTTGATTTGATCATTAGTATCTTTGAAGCCTAGAGATGTGTTTGGGACCGTGGAGGCAGTGTTTGAATCATAAACATAGTCAGGAACCATAACAACAACAAAGTGCCGTAGAGATTATTTAGTGATTATGTGCTGAAAACAAATGTCTTCAGGGGCTCAGCAGACTGGGTATGAAACTATTGGAAAGTAGGGGAATGGAGAATAAACACTACGTGAAAGCCAGATTAGGGAGAGGTTGCTGAAAACTGCAAAACCAGAGGCACCACTAAAGAATCTGGTATCTCAGGCCTTGAAGTGCTGATCTCAGGCTTACAAAACCCAGGAAGAGTACTTATTAATCTAAGATTAGCTTTGAGGTTAGGGTTATTTCATATCACTGTCATTAATTGCCATCAGAGAAAACTTTTAAAATCATCTCTACACTAGCTCAAGGACCTGCAAAGATTTCTTACTGCCCACTGCTTTAAATGGAATTTCTTAAGGTTATCAGTAAACTGCTTTCCTTCATCCAGCTCGCCCACCTCCCCATAGACTAAATTCTCAGCTTCTTGGTGGCCAAAGGAAAGAAGGAAGCATGACACAGCTTTCTTGGAAGTAAATATTTATTGAGTCAAATGCAGGTTGTGATCTCAGATTTCAAAGCGCTAAGAAACACCGTGGTTAAGTTTTCTAGACTTTGTGAAGTTTTAACCTACTTCCCAGTGTTTCTTAAAGGGAGCTCAACTGGCATTTGTATGGGGCTGTCTCATACATTGTAGGATGCTCATTGTATCTGGTCCCTGAGCAGTAAATTGCAGTGGCAAACTATAACTCCTCCTCTTTGTGACAGCCCACTATGATCTCACTCATTTCCAGATAACTCCTTTGAGAATGATCCCTCCTAATGTTGGGAACCATTGGACCATATCTGCCTGTAGTTTACTACCCAACTTATGCTCAAGTGTGGCCATTTTATTTTTTAAAACTTAGCATCAGGCCCTCTGTTGAGGAGCTCTTCCATCTTTTTATTTTATTTTATTTTATTTTATTTTATTTATTTATTTGAGAGAGGGAATGAGAGATAGAGAACACAAGAGGGAAGAGGGTCAGAGGGAGAAGCAGACTCCCTGCTGAGCAGGGAGCCCGATGTGGGACTCGATCCCGGGACTCTAGGATCATGACCTGAGCCGAAGGCAGTCGCTTAACCAACAGCCACCCAAGGCACCCGCTCTTCCATCTTTTTGGCATGGCTTTGTCTCTACTTGGTAAGCCCTTATTCACATGTGAGTTCTTAAAGAACTGAATTCAAGTCTTCCAGACTCCCTCTTTTAGCGTCTTCTCTGATTTTCCTAGGAAACATGATATTCCTTCCTATGAGGACACACAGAGCAAAGTTCTAGGATATTGTAGGTGCCAGGTGAATGAATGAAAGCTTGTGGAAATAAGAAGGTACATTAATCTAGTTTTTAACAAACACTTTGTAAGAAGAAAAGGGGAATGTCTCTTTCATTAAAAAATGTCCAACTACTATTTTTTTAATGGTACTTGGTAGTATATTTTAAAAATGCATCTCTCTATCATCTATTTTCAGAGTAGCACTGAGTCTGTAGCTTCTGATACAGTGCTGATTTTTTTCTGAATCTTCTTTTTTGTTGAATAACTTTGGCCAGACTTACACACCATCAGTTCCTGGTTCTGGCCTAATTAGCATACATGCAGACGAGAATTAGTTCAAGTCACACTCACTATTCAAAAGTAAAGGGGCTCCAGGGGGCGCAGCTGGTAAAGCACCCAACTCTTGGTTTCTGCTCAGATCCTGATCTCAGGGTCCTGGGACTGAGCCCCGTGTCGGGCTCTGTGCTCAGCACCGAGTCCGCTTGAGATTCTCTCTCTCTCTCTCTCTGCCCCTCCTGCTGGTGCTTTCTGTCTGTCTGTCTCTCTCGAATAAATAAGTCTTAAAAAGATACACAAAAAACCCAACAGTAACAAGAGAGTTGGTGGATCAGTTTAAATCATCAGCAGTGGTGGAACAGTTGCACTTCTGTGCTTGCAGAGAAGTCTAGTTTTATATAAAAATATGATAATGTTATAAAAATAATGACGCTGGTATCAGAAAGATTAGATGTCATATAAATCTGTTGTTTGGGTAGGAAAAGACCAATTGGTAAATAAGCTTGAAAGTTGAAGAAATGTACTATAGAGTGGTAGAGAGATATAAAATAAACTCAAAATTTTTAATTTTCTTTTATTCATTACAACTTTTATGTAATGTTTATAGTGTGCTTAACTTTGTTGTAGGTGCTAAGATACAAACTTGTAAGTCAGAAATTCGCAGATGTTTAGACATTTCTCTGTCGACTTTTGGTGTTCCCGCGGTGGAGGCTACCCAAATTTTTGTTCCTTTGTAGGTAAACTCTTACCTGCCTGCATCTTTGTTTTTTCTTTTTCTTTTTTAAATTACAATATTCCACTAGGCTACCTCTAGGTATAGTTGTTGTTTTTCCAACATTTTTCTCATAAATAAAGTGAATCCTCTCAATTTAGAAGGGTAAATATGTTTGATCTTTTTTTTTTTTTTCTCCCAGCTCAGGAATAATTTTTCAATGGTATGTTTGCTTATGATTTCAGTTCAGAAATGCCAGTTATTTGTAGATTGGATTTGTATTTTTTGTCCTCCCTATCAATCAATATGCTTTGTTTTCATCTTGGTCCTTTTTCTTCTGTGTTTGGAGAGCATCTCACATGTATATGCAAAAGTACTAATTAGATTTTTTCCAGCTTCTGTACTTATCTCTATTGCCTCTCATATAGAATTTAAATCTTTACTATTATTATATATTTGAATCCCCTTCCAGTTTTTTCTTATCCAGTTTCTTTTTTACTCTCAGCTGTTGTTTCCCACCTCATCTCTTGCTTTTAGAGGCTCTGTTTTTCTTTTCCCTTTGTCTTTTTCAATTGGGAACGTAAAGTAGATAATTTCCGAGTTTTTCTCCTGATTCCCAGTGTAAGCCCGCTACAGAAGCAAGCTTTCTCTCTTCCTCTATATGGCGGTGTTCTTCTTCCTTATGGTTGAAGAGCATGGTCTTGCTCCCACACTGTTATTGATGTTCTTGATTTTCTTACCTTCACAGAAAAGGGACGTATGTAGGGATGATATTGTTCACTCTTGTCAGAGTGAGCAAGCTCTCTGTGTCACTCTCACTACCTCTAGGTGCTGAAAGACTCTTCATCTACATGTGAGGTAGGAGACTCTTTGGAAAGATACAACCAGATTTCTGAATGATAGATCTTTCTGTACTCAGAAGAGGTCTTCCTTGGCTGTTGTTTAATTTTTCAGTCCTGTGTCTATAACAAGGGGAGTGTTTCTGTATGATTTGAAATGGTTTATAGTTTTTTGAGTTTTTGCAGGGAAAGAGGTTGTGGTGAGGCTGTAATCTTCTGAGGGCTCATCCTGTTCCCAGAGCCTCCAGTTGCTGACTTCACAGTGTAGTATGCATTGCTCCACTTGGCTTCACCTTCCACTTCTGGCCATGAACATTTTATTATTGAGAGAGAAGTGCCTTGAAAGAGAATT